TAATGAAGGAAGTTCAGCCTCAGGCAAAAGATGTTCATATATAATGAATAAATGATCATTTACAAGTATATTTCATTATAATTGTTTATTTTCAATAATTGAATTTGTAAAATAAATTAAACATATTTTACAGAACAAAGAAAAGTAGCCTCTGCTATAGAACCAGTTGAAAAGGCTAATGAAGGAAGTTCAGCCTCAGGTATATGATGGTCATATAAAATAAGTATAATGATCATTTACAAGTATATTTCATTATAATTGTTTATTTTCAATAATTGAATTTGTAAAATAAATTAAACATATTTTACAGAACAAAGAAAAGTAGCCTCTGCTATAGAACCAGTTGAAAAGGCTAATGAAGGAAGTTCAACCTCAGGTATAAGATGGTCATATAAAATAAGTATAATAATCATTTACAAATACAAGAAATTGTTTATTTTCACATAATTAAAAGTGTTATTTTTTTTAGGTGATCCAAAGAAGTGTTATTCTACAGTTCCTCCTGCTGTTATTGATTTGAAATTGAGCATAGGAGGAAAGAATGAAGATGGATTGGAAAAAGACAAACAAGGAGGACAAGGGTAATATGAAAAACCTCACCAAACTTTCAAGATGTATTAAGTGGATATGTATATTTAAAACAATCTAAATATGTAATAAGTAAGCCTAGTGTTTTATTTTGGGGACGAATAAGTAGTGTTTATTTTGCTAAGAACAATTTGTGTTATGGTAATTTATTTTGCTAAGAACAATGAGTATTATGTATAATTGTAATATTTAAATTATGTAATTAAAGTTTTTAACTTTTCCAATATAAGAATGTTTAAAAATGATGGGTATTTTCAAGAGGTTATTAAGAATGAACATTTAATGTTGTATGATTGTACATGTATAACCTACTAACTACCTTTGATATTTCAGTGAGAACAAGGAAAAAGATTCATCAGGGAATCTCATGGACAGGTAAACAATTTTAAATAGTAATGAACATTTTCAGATAAGTAAATATTCATTTGTTTTCAATGTTAAATTATAATGAACATTTATAGATTACTAAATGTTCAATTGTGTTGTTTAATATGTTCAGGAATGATGAAAAGAAAAACCCAATTGCAGAAAAGAGTAAAAAGGCTGGAAAGGAAAAAGTTGAAAGGTATAATTTCAAATTTATTTATATACATTTAAATGTTCTTAATATAACTATAGTACATTTGTTGAACATCAAGACCTCAACGTGAAAAGCAAACAATTCCTCATGCTTTCCGATCTCCGTACATGATTAAGTACAAAGACCTATTCAAAGATGAGAAAATAATGAACCAAATTGTAGTAGACTTTGCTCTCAGTGGTGAAGATGAAAGGTAAATACTTACTTTAATTTAATTAAAGTGGAATATATTATCTAACAATATGTTCATATATATATTACGAAATGTTCATATTGCAGTGCACTTTTATATTATGATGACTTGAATCTCATCAATAGACAAGAAATGAAAACACTTGGAGATGATGTTCAAGTAACAAATTGTGTGATAGATGGCTGGGCAAGAGTTCTTAATCATAAAAAGCCAAAAAGCAAAATTTACTTCTCAACAATGCTTCACGTTAGTTTTACTTCTTTTTTTTATACCAAGTGTTGTTTTATATTATTATTTTATACAAAATTTTCACTAATTTTTTATATCATTGTTTCTATTTCAACAGCACATTATGTGTACAAATAGAGTTTCTAGAGAAGGTTCATCCATAAAAAAAAGAATTCATGCCTTCATAGAAAGAATTGACAATGAGTTGAAAATGAATAAGATTGATAGCCTTGTTGGATACAAATAGGTATTGCCATAAAGTTCATAATAAAAATGTTCAATTATGAATAGTAAAATGATCAATAACAATATAATATTTGTTCAGGTTTTCTTCCCAGTTTCAACTTCTGAGCATTTTTTTCTATTGTGCATCAATCATATGGAAGAGAAAATTCATATTATTGACAATAGGAAACTACCTCAACATATCTCAGTCCAATCAAAGTATGAAGAGCAACAAAAAATGATGGTGAGTAATTATGTTCATTTTTGTTTGGCTAAATGATCAGTTTCTGTTTCTATTTGTTCATGTATTCTACACAATGCCAAATTCTAAGTATTTTTTACTATTGCTTTTATTAGCTGAAGGGATTGGCAGGATACATGAAACACCTTGGGTATGAAGATGCTGATAGAATTGAAGAGTACAAAATTGTTTTGGAGAAGATGAAATGGCGTAGCAACGAGGATCATACAAACTGTGGTGTATACATTATGAAGCACATGGAAACCTTCACTGTTGATCCTAATGAAAGTTGGATATGTGATTTAAAACCAAACAATGTAAGTATACTAAATGTTCAATTATATAATATAGAATGTTCATTTATAAAAAAGGTACAAAATAGTAATCATTTTAATTTATTTTGTTCAACAGGTGAACCAAATTAGAAAGCTAAGGATACAATACGTAGCAGAGCTGATGCTATTTGAAGAAAACACTGAAGCAATGATAAATAGAAGAAAAGCGAGAAAGTTTGCAAAGGATTAATTTCACATGTTCATTTACGAATATGCATATGATCAATGTTTAAATATAGACATATAGATTTTTTATTTTTCACAAAGTATTCTATGTTATATTTCTTACGGTTATTCGAATGCAAACAATATTTTTATCTTTTTAAGATACAGTTTATATGAAAATTGCAAATTTTATAAATTTGCTCTTATTCTTGAATATAAAATACTTAATAAAACAAAATAATAAAAATGTTCATTACCAATAGAGTATATGATCATTACAAAAATCAAATATGTTCAATTACATATCTTGCAACAAAATATTAAAGTGGAGCAAAATAGTTCAACAAAACAAGTTTTTACTTGTTATTTTTTGCCAACCTCTTAGCTACATTAGTATCAAAAAATGCTAAAAACCTATCATACTTATAAGAAACATGTTGACCACCATGCTGAGTGCCTTGAACTTGTTCATCATTTGAAGAAGCTGTAACTTCAATTCTTCTTGACGATGGAACAGAAACTTGAACAGGTTTTAGAGGTAACTGAACATTTCTTGGAGGTACTTGAACATTTTTTGAAGGACCTTGAACATTTGTTGGAGGAGCTTGAACATTTCTTGGAGGAACTTGAACATTTCTTAGAGGAACTTGAAAATTTCTTGGAGGAACACTTGAAGAAGCATGAGCATTACTTGAAAAATTTAAATCCTTCTCCTGGATAAAAAATATTAAGCATTATAATAAATATAAATATACATAAAAAAAAATTATAAATGACATTTAAAAAGAGTAAATAAACCTTAGCAAGAGCAGAAATATCTTCATCAAAAGATAAATTGGATCCAAAAGAACTTTCAACAGCAACCTATAAAAAAAAATTACAATTAACCAACAAAACAAGAATACAAAAATTATATTTACATAATGCCAATAATTTTTAAAATAAAAAGAATTAAAAAACAAATACCTGATTAAAACCATTAAAAATACTTTCATCAAAGTCATTAGAACAATAAGGATCTTTTTCTACAGAAGATGCCTTCCTAGCAACCAAAATTATAAAAACATGAAATATGATCATTCATAAAAACGTAAATGAACAAATTTAGGAAAAAAAAAAGTTATTAAAATATTACCTTAGAAGGTGGATTTTTCAATATAACCAGTTCATCAGAATCACACATAGAATTAGCATAAGAAACAGGAAGTCCAATATCATCAAATTCCTAAAACAAAAAAAAATAAACATTAGTATCAAATAAAATGATCAAATATAAAAACCTTTATGTTCAATAGTACCTGAACTCCTGATTGACCTTTAACCCTCATGTAAGGTGTATATAAAGACTTTCTCTTCCTCCAATTACCCCTATCTTTATTAAACTCCTTTTCTACAATACTTTTAGGCCGAACATTTCTCTCACCAACATGTCGTTTTTTGGGAGGATCATTAACTTCATGATCAACAATTTCAACACCTTCAGCAGCCTCCTTGAAATCAATTGTGCCCCTAACACTCTTAACTTTGTCTTTTAAAATATCAAAATAGAGGTCAACTTCAGCTCTTGTAGGCAAAGAATTTTGACAACTAGTTACCAACTTCACAAACTTCCTTAATGTTTGCGACCTCCAAACAGTAGAGGACACCAAATTAGTTCTTGAAGAAGGTTTATGAACAGTAGTATGAGTACACATTGCAGCCTTGGTCCAACGCTTCATAATATACTCATCCGGAATCTTAGGTACACAATGTAAATGGTATACACGAAGAAAATGAGAACATAACAATCCCATTTCACTAAAGTACATGCATGTGCAGCATATATCATGAGTTTCCTTGTTGAAAACAACTTCATGCCTAATCTTATCTTTACCAAATCTCCATAAATGGTACGAATATTCAGGAAAATGAAGACCAACATCAGAATGTTCATAAGCAGTACCCTTAATGAACTCCTCTTCAAAAATAATATATGCTTGAATGGTGTATAAAGACTTAGCATGAACTAAAATGCTAATATGAGCAAAAGCAAGATGACGATTACCCCTCAATGTATTAAAATCATTTCCATTCTCTTTGCTCCTCCACTCAGAGATAACATCAAGAAAAACATGGTAGAAGTCACACAAACCTTGGGTCTTATTAAGCCTTTCCGAAACAGATTTATTTGTAGTTTCACTTCGTTGAGATGATAAAACACCACCAGACCAATGCTTCTTAGAATAGGCTGGACACCACATCTCTTTAATCTTGTACAAATCACACAACCAATCATCTTTTTACATTTATATTTCATTAACATTCTGCATAAAACATATGATCATTAGATATTGTATAAATGAACAAATTATATCATAAAATGTACATATATACAAAACTAAATGATCATATTATATAACTAATATAAACAAACTTGAAAATACATATTATAATTAAAAAAAATTGTCAATACCTTTTCCAAAAATGTTCAAACTCAGCAGGGGTTTCACAATACTTGAGCAAATAACCAAACAAATCTGTAAATCCATCCAAAGCTCTCAAAGCCCCAATATGCTTCTTTGAATTTTGCTCAATGTGCCAAACACAAAGACGATGATGCACACTTGGAGGAAATACATTCCGAATACCAGCTGCAATAGCTTGAGCTTGATCTGTCATAATTGTGATAGGACTTTTGTTTCCCATAGATTTCAAGAATGTATCAAAAAGCCACACAAAAGACTCGGTTCGCTCATTGAAAATAAAACCCATACCAAACATGAGATTATTAGCATGATGATTCATACCAACAAATGGAGCACAAATCATTCCATATTTATTTGTCCTATACGTGGTATCAAAAACCAGCAAATCTCCAAAATACTCATAATCTCTCTTCATCCGACCATCACGCCAAAAAAAGTTAACTAAACACCCATCCTCATCTGGTTCAAAGTCATAGTAAAATTCAGCTTCATCAAGTTGTCTTTTAGCAAAGTATTTGATCAATTGATGACTGTCACAACCATCAAGTAAAGCTCGTTTTTCAGCAGATAAAGCATTATAGGCATCCGGTGCTGTAAATCCTAAATTAGGAGAGCCACCAACATCCTTTTTCATTGCCCTCAAGGCTGCAGAAATTTTAACTCCACTACACCTCAATGTAGACATGAATTGCAAATTTTCTTTAGAAACATTCCTTTGAGACCTTAACAAATGTCTCTTTTCAAGAGGAATCATATGATGATTATGTTTCATGTGATGCTTTGTACATGTCCATAAACCTAAACGATCAATCTTAAACTGAATAAAAGCCCAACAACCAGTTCTTATATTAAGTCTCTCATAAGTCCTTTTATTCTTTGCCTTCTCATCCTTCCAACCTTCATTGCAACAAACAAATCTTTTCATCTTCAAAGAGCCATCATTTCGACTTTTACTTTTATCAATTCTAATCCCAAATCCATGCTTAAAAGCATATTCATTATAAATATCATAAGCTTCTTCTTCAGAATTAAAATCTTTATAAAGTAACTCTGATTTAGTTGCCTCTTCAAACATAATTTCATCACTAGTACCCACTGCATAAGTTTTTAAAAATGAACATAATAAATAACAGATATGTACAAATACAAAGCAGTACATATATAAATGATCATTTAGCATAATCAATATGATCAAAATATTTAAATAAAATAAATTACTGAATATTAATGTAATTGATAATGATCATTTAAAATTATTCAACTATTCAAAATAATAATACACAGTACCATAATCAACCATCAAAATCAAAAATCACAAATAAAACTAAATAAAAAAAGCAGTCAAATAATTATATAACAAATAAAAATAAAATAGAAATCAAAATCAGAGTACTCAAAATCAAGCTAAAACAGAGACTAAATTGATCTAAAACAAAAACAATTTAATCAAACAAATCAAAATCATAAAACAACTAAAACAAAAGCAAAATCAATTCAAAAAACTAGCATTAATCATATTCAAACAAATCAAATTCATTAATTAACTAAAACAGAAACAAAATTAATCAAAACAACTCACATTCATCATAATCAAACTAATTACATTCATAAAACAACGAAATCAAAATAAAAAATGATCAAAACAACTTACATTGATCAACAAATGAATTCAGCAATCCAGTAGAAGACGGAAAAACAACTTCACAATCACGATCAAACTCGGAAATCGAAGAATGCTGAAGTTCATAATCACGATCAACATCTAGAATCACGAATTCATCCATAATTGAGAGAAACAGGAACGATCTAGAGAGAGAAAATGAACAAAAAAGAGACAAAAATACAAAAATTAGGTTGAAATTGAAATATATAGGTAGCTTGAACAATAAGTAAGCAAAATTAAAAGAAAAGAAGGAAAGTCAGGAAAAAAAAAGAAAGAAAAAAAAAAGCCAAGAATGATCAAAACGACGTAGCTACATGGGGAGAGTAGACAACAATAGCTAAAGGAGGGTGTAGGTAAAAATTTTCAAGGAAGTTATGGCCAAAATACTAAACTGGGCCCGATTTGGTTTTTATATGCGACCCAATGATCTAGAGGAGAACATATTATTAATTATCATTCCTAAAGCTATTAGAATTGATTATAGTCTTTTAGAATACTCTAGAAGGTTCTTTTAAATCCTAATGGAGTTAGGATTGATAATTATGTTTTAAAGAGTTTGAAATTGAATAAAACTACTCCTTTTAAGAATCCTTGTTTTGTAAGAAGTGGAATATATTCAGATTTTATTTTCGTGCCAAATAATATTTATCCAAATTTTATATGGTTGGATAGATCTTGAAATTATGTTTCCAATGATATATTATAATATTAAATCCGAGTTATAACGAAAAAGATATGAATGAGACATGAAACTTTATCCAAAACTGACACCCTTCCACTATTTTGGCCATATATTTTTATTTACAAAATATTTTAATCTGATTCTAATTGAGTTGGAAATTAGAATTTACGATCTTTCCAACGACATATTATATGCATTATTTGGACTTCCGGATCAAAATATATGATAAAAACAAAAACGCATGAATTTCTGAAATCAGCGCCTGGAACCAGGCCTGGCGCCAGTTATTGGCGCCTGACGCCAGTTATTGGCGCCTGGCGCCAATTAGCTGGTGCTGGCGCTAGATTTGTTTTGCGTGCGCTAATCTCGTTTTTATGAGATTTCCAACGTGTGTATTTTGTTATTAAGAGAGGTACGATCATAGCTGGTGCTGGCTTATTTTGTTATCCTAGTTCCAGGCGCTGATTTCAGAAATTCATGCGTTTTTGTTTTTATCATATCTTTTGATCCGGAAGTCCAAATAATGCATATAATATGTCGTTGGAAAGATCTTAAAGTCTACTTTCGAACCCAATTATAATAAGACTAAAATATTATGTAGATAAAAAGATATGGCCAAAATAGTTGAAGGGTGTCAGTTTTGGATAAAGTTTCATGTCTCATTCATATTTTTTTCGTTATAACTCGGATTTAATATTATAATATATCATTGGAAAGATAATTTCAAGATCTATCCAACCATATAAAATTTTGATAAATATTATGAGGCACGAAAATAAAATCTGAATATATTCCACTTCGTACAAAACAAGGATTTTTAAAAGGAATAGTTTTATTCAATTTCAAACTCTTTAGAACATAATTATCAATCCTAACTCCATTAGGATTTAAAAGAACCTTCTAGAGTATTCTAAAAGACTATAATCAATCATAATAGCTTTAGGAATGATAATTAATAATATGTTCTCCTCTAGATCATTGGGCCGTATATAAAAACCAAATCGGGCCCAGTTTAGTATTTTGGCCATAACTTCCTCGATATTCATCGGAATTGGGCTTATAATATATCGTTGGAAAGGTCTTTTCAAACCCCATCCAACTACACCATTATTGGATCCTTATCATGGACCAAACAAACTGGATTGACTATTTGTTTAAAATAAGTTTTCAAAAATAGAGAGAAGAGAAAAGAATTAAAACTATCCGCAACACTAAACTTTCCACACTTTCACTTCATTCGATTATGATTCGACATGAAAAGTACTCATCACTGGGTTTGGTTTTGAGGAGACACAAATGGGTGTCTACAGACCGATCGGGCGAGGCACCGCCCGATCGGGCGCGCATTTTTGCTCGTCAGTACTAATCTCGCGCCCGGCTGGGCGCCAGCCTCTTTGGCCGGGCGGCTCTCTTGGGCCACTATTTGGAATACGATTGGGCTCCAATTCTTCGGGCCAATCTGGGTTTCCTCTTCCGGTCTTGAATACTCGGTCCAAATGCCCCGGTATCACCTATACCGAGCCCTTAATCACTGGTTCGATGGCTCTAACCGGCCCTGGGCTATAAAATCTGGTCGTGCTTCTCCAATGTTCGTGATTGCTCCAAAATATCTCGGAAAAATACTCCAAAAGTATAAATCCCTGCAAAAGTTAACCAAATCTACGAAAACACTAGAAAACACCAATTAGTAATAAAAGTGGCTCTAAAGAGCCAAAAACACTACTAATTATGACCAAGGACGGGGGTAAAATACTATATAAAATAAACACATCAAACTCCCCCAAGCCAAACCTTTGCTTGTCCCTAAGCAAAGATCTCATCAATGAATCAATAAATATACTTCACCCCAAAAAGTAAAAATCAAGCACAAACGATCCAGGGTAAATCAAATAAACATGCTTCAAAGTCAACCAATCAAATCCATCTAATTACCAATCTTCCCTAACAATTGTCAAACTGAGCAAACCACAAGAGCATATAGAATTCAAGACTAGTGCTCACACACTCAACTCTCATTTTTGTGGCGAGTAAAAGGTGTACTCGATCGCTCTCCATCCAACCCCTTTATGTGAACAATGCCCTCCCAACTCACACTCTCGTGTGTTTAAAAAGACCTACACTCAACCTAAATAGTCGACTCGAAATATGTCAAATCATTCTTTGCATTGATAAAAAACTAATTTTGAGAAGAGCATGATTACCATTTTGAGATCTTAAAATCTAACATGTGTCATGCATTGCAAAATCAGATTCTTAACTCACTATTGTTCAATAGTGGCTCATCTCTTCGATTTGACTTAGTACAGGTTTACGAATCAAGTATTAGGTGTTTGAAATCATCTAAAATACTCATCTCGTGTTAATAAAGCGTCCATTTCACAAACAACTAAGATCGGGCTAACATTATGAATATAGGCTAAGTGAGTTTGATTTTGGGCTAAGTAACAAGAAACTTGGCCAACAACTAAAATTGAGATTACATTTATGTAAATAGGTTAGATAATTACAAAACTAAGCTAAGAAAATGGAATTCGGCATTTTTTTTCCTCGATCGTATATTTGGACCAATTAATTAAGCTATTGTATAATTCAATCATTGGACTTATAAATTAGGAAGACACGATTTAGGGGTCTACAAGGTGTTTAAATTTCACACCTCTATCTATATGGAGGCATCTCAAATAATAAACTTCATGTCTATGTAGAGGTGTATTATCTGGATGCCAACATCTAGGCTAGGGTGAAAAAACAGACACCCTTGTTTAGGTGAGAGATGAGTAAGTGAAACGATATTGAGACAATAAAAAATAAGGGAGGAATAAACATAGGAATGAATGACAAACAAAGGAGTGTATGTATTCATAAACTTTCTCTTCCCATACCCACGTCTGCCTAAAAATTCTATATTATCCCTTACCCACTACTTATGGTGGGTACGTATTCAACATCCAAATTCTCTATAACATCAAAATAGATATCCACTACTCGACTTTTACCGGCATATACTTGTTTCTTAACCATATACTGCCCACCTATAATAAGTTAACAATTATACGACTAAGCCCAATTGGAATTATGTTTGTAATTTTGTAATAAATAGTGGTAAATTGGTAATAAAAGGTAAAGATGGATAAGAGGATGGATGTGAGGTGTGTTTAAGCGAATAACAGTCATATGATTTAAAATCCACCACTTTATCACTACCCATGGCAGGTATGAACTTTATTATGCTTATAGTCCGTTTCGATAAAGGGTAAATAAGAGCCCTTTAAGTTTGCAACTAAAATAAGTTATAACAAAATCAAAAATTTTAGATAAGTTCGTATAAAATTAGATTAATTCAGATAAGATTGTACTCCATACAAGTATAGTTTAGATACTTGAAAATTAGGTGAATAAAACAACCTTAAGTCCCATAAGTTATATCCATACTCATTCTAACTAAGATAATTGCGCTACAATATACACATTTGCCACATGTTATCCCTAAATAAACACAAAAAATGTAGAGATGATAAATATCGGGACAAGCTAGACCTTTGTATAATATCTCGTGCCCAAAACTTGCAAAATAATGATTAGGTCAACTCAGATTTTGATTTATTATCGGGACAAGCTAGAAATATTGGTTTTTTTTTAGGTCAACTCGGATTTTGAACAAATAATAATAATAATAATAATAATAATAATAATAATAATAAAATTAAGGTTAGTCTATACTTGCACATTTATGGGCCAAACTAGTTTGAGCCAATGAGCCATACCATTAATGACCACGGCTAAAAGGGCCAAAGCTTATAATATAGTAATATATAGGGCGTAATGATTTTGGATTATATATTTACTAGTTTTGTGCTTGTGCGATGCCCGACTTGTTTATTAATTTTTAATATTAAATTTTTTATCTAAAATATATATGTTTTTTTTTTTAATTTTATTTTTCAACTCATGGATTAATAGTCTCTTAGATAATCATACTTATAAAATAAATAATAATATAGTTTTATCTATACGAGTATAATAGTTTAGGAAAGAGTTTAGACTACATGTGGTAGTTCTTGAAAGTGATGCAAGTAGCATGGCCAGAGTAATTAAGAAATCAATTTGGAGTTGCACCTAATTTCATATTATTGGATGAAATTTGTAGGATTAGTTGTGATTTTAATGTCTTTAATTTTAGCTATAATGGGAGATCAGTATGAATTCTGAATACATGTGTATGCTTTGCTCCAAAGTCTTGAAACTTTGGCACGGATCTTGATTTAATTTTATAACATTCGTAATTTAAAGTTTGAAATATATTTAAGCCACTTATTAATTAAATATATTATAAATGGATTTATTTTTAAGCAACAGATATTATGATAGAAGAATAATAAATTTATGAGATAAAAATATTGAAAGCTATAATTTAACATTTTTTTTTTAAATTTTGAATA